GCAAGTTAAGAGGAACACAAGTCCTGATAACGTGAATATAAAGCAAGGAAAAGGAGAGATGATTTTAACCCATTTTAACTTTTATTCGAGTTTAAACCATTATCATAAGATTTATATGAATAAATTAATTTCATAATCAAGCTTTAAAAGAAGAATTTGTGTAAAATGTAGAACGCGTAAGAAAAGTTGTAAATCTTACCCTCAGCCAACTCATTCTTTTTGTATTTTACGAGAAAATTTTACATCTGGCTACCATACAAAGTAGTTTCCTAAAATTGGGAGTTTTGGGAATTCTAGTGGACTTAAAGAGTCCTTCAATTTTACGATAGTTTTGCCACATGCTGGCCTAAAAAAATTAAGGACTTGTTCTCACAATAAACTCGAGCAACAGTCTGTCCTCAGTTATCAGTAGTGACTTGAAAGCTCTCCTCTAGAACGGAATCAAAATAAAAGCATATAGCTTTTCTGCTTTGTATTCAGTTGAAGTTTTGGTACATGTAACACTGAATTAAGCTTTTTGTCTGCTTTCAAGGGCCCCGTAACTGTGTTATATGACGCAGAGGGTACCTGGAAATTTAAAAGATGACGGATTCTAATATATATATTTAAGAAAAATAAAGAATATGTAAAAGATTAAATTAGCAACGTTAAATTTCCCTTCTCAATTCTAAAAACAGTAACCTCTCTCTGCACTGCGTCATTTCTACATTAATCCATATCCATATGACTCTTATATAATTCTGATGATGTAAATGGAACTAAAACTCTAGCAGCCAATAGCAATTGTACAGCAATATTAACTACCCAATCAAAATGCACCGAGAACCGAAACTGACTCAGTTTGAATTAAGATTTCACCCTGAATATAACGCACTTGCTTTCTACGCTTTGGCCTAGCCGGACTGTAGTCTGTCTGTTCCTACTTTCTTACTGCAAAATTATCTAAAATGTAAGCTTTTTGGGATAGGAACAATTAAATTACCAACTTTTTTGTGGCTGCAACATGAATGTTGAAATAAAAAAAATGAAGATTTAACCTGCCTAAAAATTGCAATGATGGCAAGGATTGAAATAAAAGCAAGGAAAAGCCGGAACTGTTGATGCGTAATAGCTGTATAGGGTAGATGCATACTGAAGAGGAAGAATTCTGATTGCGTAGTTACAGTGGATGGACAAAAATATGGAAACACCTTGTGAAATGCATGTTTGAAAAGAAAGATTGATTTTAATGAAATATGTAGGTGGCGCTGGCGTTTTTGACTACTGACGCCACCTATACAACTTCGTAAATGTGCTAAACAGTTCAGTTGTTGTCGGAGTACTGTTATGCGAGATTGTCATTGCATTATGTCAGAGTTAACAGACTTCGAACGTGGGCAAATTGTTGGAGCACGTATGGTAGGTGCTTCCGTAAGCAAGGCAGCCGAGGTGTTTAGTGTTTCAAGAGGTACTGTATCGAAGATTTATTCCGCATATTTGAAAAGCGGATAAACATCTGCTAAAGCACAGCGCGGACGAAAGTGTGTCCTGAGTGATCGTGACAGACGTTCATTAAGGGCAATTGTGACGAAAAATAAGAAGACCACAGCTGCAAAAGTTACTGCTGAAATGAATGTTGTGTTACCGAACCCTGCGAGTACCAAAACAATTAGAAGGGAGCTTCATAAACAGGAAATTGCTGGCCGTGCTGCAATTGAGAAGCCACTCATCAGTGATGCTAATGCCCGTAACAGGAAAAGGTGGTGTTTAAGTCATAAAGCCTGGACTATAGAGCAGTGGAAGCGAGTAATATGGTCTGACGAGTCTTATTTCACATTGTTTCCCACTTCTGACCAAGTTTAAGTCTGGAGAACGCCATCTCAAGCCTATAATACAGACTGCTTGTTGTCATCACTGCATGGCGGGGGCTCTCTGTTATGGTTTGGGCAGCCATATCGTGGTTCTCTGCTAGCCCCATGATAACTGTGTCAGGGCACATGACTGCCAAGACTTATGCGAACATTTTGGCCGATCAAGTTCATCCCATGGTACAAACTTTCTTCCCCGATGGTGATGGTGTCTTCCAAGACGACAAAGCCCCTGTTCACACAGCTCACATTGTCCAGGACTGGTTTTCTGAGCACGAGGATGAGTTGTCCCATCTCCCCTGGCCACCACAGTCACCAGACCTGAATATTATCGAACCTTTGTGGTCTACATTGGAACGGAAAGTGCGTTCTCGTTACCCACCGCCAACATCGTTATCTGAACTTGCCACCGTTTTGCAGGAAGAATGGTATAATATTCCCTTGGCAAACATACAGGAACTGTATTTATCCATTCCGAGAAGACTGCAAGCTGTTTTGGATGCCAACGGGTTTCCTACACCATATTAAGCAAAGAAACATGTTTTTTTAAAGATGTTTCCATATTTTTGTCCAACCCCTGTATGTTAATTTCGTAATATTTAAGAAACTTGGCAGTCGAGGCAATTTAATTCCATTTTCATTTTCTAGTTGACGTTTGTGGCCACAGCTCACTTGGCAGTCGATACGTGCCTATTCAGCAACATTTACATTTTGGATAGTATAGCGCTAGCAAGCAAGATAGCGAAATCACATCCTGGCAAGATACAGAGCGAAGCTGAAGTGCATAGTAATGCAAGATAGAAGCACACGAAGAGAAAGGTTTTGGTTTAAAGTTTCAGTTTCCAATTATTACGTCATCAGCGCTGCGCAGACCATGCAAAATCGAATGATCCAGAAATGACGCAATTCAGGGAGGTTATTACGATTTTTAAAACAGAGAGGAAGAATTAAAGAGTTTACCGTTAGTTTAAATTACATATTTTTTATCTTACACATATATGTATCGTCTTTTAAGTTTAAACATATAAATGTTGTTCAGTAGGGCATTAAAAGGCCCCATAAGTCTTTGGGCCCCTATGCGACAGCATTCTTTGCATACCCTTATTTACGCCACTGATCGCCCGTTGTGTGAAACAAGTGCTCCGCTGCCATTTCGATGACGACAGAATCATCAGCCGAGAATTTCCTACAGCTTGGCCTCCTAAATCCCCCGACTCCTAAACCCTTGCGACTTTTGGCTGTGGGGATACCTCAAGGCCATGATCCACCGTGATTCCATCACATCTCTGTCCGACCTTAAAGAAAACATAGAACACCATGTGTGTAACATTCCCCAGTTTAATGCTGCTTTCAAAAGTCGAACATGCCATTTTACGTTTCCAGATAGTACCAGAGACGATGGTGGACATAATATCGAGCATGTTTTGTAAACTTTTGTAGACTATTTATATGTTCTCAATAAAGCTATGATACGCCACCTAGGGGTGGTTTTTGAAACTCATTTTTTTTTTTTTCTTTTCCCCTCGATAAAATTCCCATCATTTCATTCTGCCATTACCCAATTTTCATGTAATTCCGCTGCATAGTTTTTGCTGAAGTCTGCTCGCAAAATTCAAGTTTAATTATAGACACCTTGTATATGTTACCAACAAAGTATGAAATCCGGCATTCTATAGAATGCCAAGGCATTGTTTATAATGCCTAAAACTAGCCGGCAATGTATGAAACGATTCATATTTCACACATTTCCTAGGCATTCTATAGAATGCCAAATGACTAACCAGCAAAGTATAAAATACATTTCCGATTCGTTTCGAAGAACCGAAACTACTTACCAGAAGTTAATAAATGATGTAAAAAGGCCAAAATGACTGCTAAGAAGGAACCACGGGACTATGGGCAGCCGAATCCCTAGGTGTGATGTTTGTGGAAAACAAAATTACATTCAATTATCCTATTAAAGGAACCGTCAGTACTATACAGTATTACGTCACAGATGCTAAGTTATTTTCCGTATTTCATAAAAACTCATTTCAGTACCGCACACGGACGACGTGACAGAATGGTGAAAGAATTTTCAACCAAATACAAAGAAAGTTACACGTAATGATATTGAACTGTACAACCACCTTTGTGAGCCCTGCCAGAAAAAAAAAAAAAAAAAAAAAAAAAAAAAAAAGAAAGGTTTTAAAAAGGGCATTAAAAGTGAAACTTAAGATTGTTTCTGAATTTAATTTCCGTTGTCAGGTAGATCTTACCGATTCCCAGTCTCGATAGAAAATACAAATTTATTACACTGTATCCAAGATCACCTCACTATCCCCCCCTTTTTTTTTACATATTTCGAAGAACAGTTTTTTAATGACACTCTTTCATTAATTTTTCAGAAAATCGTCTTTTAAATAATAGCCTTATCATCACCTTTTTTTTTTCATTCTTTGCCTAAAAAGCCTTTGTCATTCTATAGAATGCCTAGGTCTTATATACAATGCCTAGGAAAAGTATGTAATAATTCTCTTATTTCATACTTTGCCTAAAATCGTTCGGCATTATATACAATGCCTAGGCATTCCATAGAATGCCGGCGTTTCATACTTTTCCGGTAACATGTACATAATTTAATGACAAACTGTAATAAATAATTGTTATTTTCTAACAATTTTTATTATAATTACTTAATAGTTATTTTTATTGTATAATTTTCATAATATTGGTAGTGCAATAATTTCTAATAATTTTACTATAAACTGATTATAATAATTTTACGACAGTAAGCAGTTATTATAATTACTATGATTTAATAATAATAATAATAATAATAATAATAATAATAATAATAATATATATATTTACTAAAGAAATATTGATTATATTTTCTCTTACTATTAACTTTAGTAGAAGTATCTAAAAAGAGTGAACCCATAGGTAAGGAAGCTTAATTCCGAAAATTGTTTCAAAGTAACTTGGATGTAAATTGTTAAAAATGTATATAATCAATTACTGTACATCGATTGTGCTCCTCTCCTTCTCTAAAAGCCGGCTTTTTCTTTCCTAAAGTTGGTCCACCAGAGGTCGAGTGGTAAAGTCGCTACACGTCGAGAAATAAATTATATTAAGTAGGTCCCAGGCGCGAATCTCGCGAACTGGCTGGCTGCATGAGTGGGCACGAATGGACGTTTTTGAGGTTTTCTCGATGTTCAACGTACATACGAGCTAGTTTCCCTTAGAAAATCCTCGACGAAGACATCCCTTCCATAGCCCTACAGCCTTCGAGTGCTTTGCCGTAGTCAAAGGAACCGAACTTTCCTGAAAACTATGATTGACCTCGTGCGTATCTGCGGTTTTAAGAACTAGGAAATGAAACGTACTTACGTCACTCATTGTCTGCCTTTTGTTCTTCAAGTAATCATAATCTCGTCTTTCTTCGACCCAATTGTTGACGTTCACGTCTGTATGATAACGATTCTGTATTTGATTTAAAAAAGAAAAAAAAAAAAAAAAAAAAGAAAAAAAAAAAAAAAAAAAGAAAAAAAGAAACAGCATTATTTTTGCACGTCCTTGATTTTGAAAACTAATGAATGGAAATGTACAAAATTCACATTATCAGAAACGTCAGAACATTTGAAATACTTAAAAGTCTGAATTTATCAAATACTCCCCCCTCAAATTTATTTAAATATTTAATAAAAGAATTTTGACAACCAGGAAGTAGATATCTCTTTAAATCTGCTGTCATGTCTTAGAAGTAATGATCAGTACTAGCAGAATGTCTTCTGTCTATCTACACAAGCTGTTGGAAAAACCTTACTGTATGCTGTCATTTTCCCTTAAATATTTATCTTAGATATTCCGATTATAAAATCTCTTGAAACAAAATGCGGAACAGATAAGCTCTCTTTTAGCAACTTGGGAGCGATAAATTCTATAAAAATTTAATCTAAATTTGGTACTTACTTATTATTTTGTCGACCGGTCAAGAAGCACGATTTAGCGCCAATTATGGATGAGAGCTTTCTTTAGAATTCGGCAGTAATAATTAGCGACTGACGACCTTTGCCGAAATTTCCGCCAATAGTCGACGGAATAATACGTAAATACACTACATTTTTACGCGGTCTCCAAAGAGTAAAAATTTCGGTTTATTAGATATTTATTTTGGTTTAAACCCTTGAAACAAAAAATGGCATAATGATATCTGCCTCGAATATCTCTGAAACATTCGCAAAGATGTTCATAACAAAATTGCGTTAATTTTTAATGCTTGTTGAAATTTGAGATTGAAGCTATTTTAGAGAAAATTTAGGGAGCAGTTTTCAGATATCATTATACATTTTATTTCGAAACAGGAGACGTGAAAATTGTGCAGTGCCTTCGCCGGGCCTCGCGCTGCAAGCCGGGCCATCTTTCCCGTTACACCATTAAGACACGCAGTAAAAAGGAAGAGAAACCTTGCAATTTAAAAATAATAAAAGTGACTATTGTTGGCTCAGATATTAACAGAAACAACATTCATTTTGAAGCTGCTCTCATTACAGACGCATATCTTTAATCACTTAAAAGAATTTTTTGCTTAAATGTACAAACATTTTGTACCTAATTTATTAAAGAGGAATGAATATTTTAATAATTAAAAATTGTTATCTACGCGGGTCGTAAAAAAAAAATTCTGATGTGGCTATCACTACTCACAGTACGTCCCCTTAAATTATACACATTTCTTGCTGCACTTCGTTTAATTATTTCCTCGTATTATTCTAACTTAATCCGTCTAGGCAAGTTACAAATACTGCAGATTTTGAAATTAATTTTTCCGCGATTATAATACTTCCTTCACTTCATACAAGAAAGTAAAAAGGCTTATGTTATTTTTGTAGAACCGTGTAGGGTTTCCCTTAGTTTGACTAACCAATTATTTTAATTTTTGGTACCTTTTCTGAACTTCTCATTCCCCTCGCATTTCCCCCCCCCAGGATGCAAATTAAGTTAAAGTGAAGGCGAGTATTTAAACCGTCAAATCGCCATGTAATTATATTTAAAGAAAATTATCGCCATTTATTATATTTAAAAGAAAATAAATAATGAAAATCTGCATGAATGCTTGTCGCATTGTGAAAGAACAGCGGTACCGAGAGATATCAAATTTTGAATAACGTAACCTGCCAACCGAACATGGGCACTTGGAAGCCCGAATTTTGAATTTGCTTCATTATCCGTTTCAAATTCTGTAATACTCTAACGAATTTTTGATGAATAAAACGATTTCCAAGCGAGCAGTGGCAAGACTGTACGGAAAAAAAAAAAATTCTTATCTCCAGGGCGCGAGACTGTATCGGAAATTCTAAAGATATGCTGCTTTTAAATTTTGTGATATTGCTGTTGAATTTTATGTGGTTTAGGTGCAAAGAACATAATATTTAATAAATAAAAGTTGCACACAAAACGTAAAAAGAAAACGTCCCTTTGGGCGTAATATAAAATATGAAAGTTTCATATTTTTTTTTTTCCTAATGTGTTTCAGAAATTAAATATAAAAAGTATATAAAATGTTGGTAAATACCAAAACTTGAATAAAAGTAGTTGTTATATTCATAAACTAAAATTAAATACTTAACAGCTAAATAAAACTATAAATTTCCTTCACCGGTTGAGTGCCCCCGTGCTGTATATTCTTATAAGAACTAGCTTAATTTGTTAATTCAATAGAACATTCAATTTGAAAGATAAATGCCTTACTTTTTTTCCGAGATTCGAACGGAAAGTGAAGGGACACATTAAAGTGAATCAACGCAAATTCGTGTTTCTATACTAATAACCCTTTTGAGATAAAATCTCGCAATATGTTCCTCGTATTTTCTTTCTGTTTTCGTTTTTTCTTTTTTTTTTTTTAAAGAATACTTAAGAGTCGTAACCGTTTCGTACTTATTTGAATGATTCTTGAATGTATTTAGTTATCGTAATGAAGTGTAAATTAAGTGCCTTACTTTTCAAGAATGCATTTAATGTAAATAACTGCATTTCATTATGCATAGAAGCCTTCGTATATTACCGCTCTGAGCGCATCAACCGTTGCCACAATTGGCATGCGCAGAAGTTTCTTCCCGCACGAAAATTGATTTTTAGGATTTTACGTTACTTTTCGAGTTTAATTCTTCAGTACCGACCTCTCGACATTCTGATAACAAGAGTAGCTCTTTTTTTTTTCGAATGAAAGCTCGAAGACTGTTTTAAATATTTTGCATTTGGAAATGTTTCCCACTTTAGGTATCCGATTCTAGTTTAGTTTCCTTAGACTCTGTCTTAAAATTTAATTGCTTATGTTTTGCAGCAGCTTTGTCCTTAGTACATATTTTAAAACTGTTAATTTAGCTTATTGCGTTTAATTTCATCAATGCTATGTGGATGGGTTCTTAGAACACATTTTCCTAGTCATTTATTTCCCGGAAGAATTCGCATCACAATGTATTATGAAATTAATTCTTTTTTCTAATTTTAAGCTTTTTGCTTGATGAAATATTTCACGATTTAGAATAATAATCTACCAGTCTCAATTTACCATTCTCAATCTTAAAACCATTGCTTAAATACTGCTTCCGAACTCACTTCGAATTTACATACACGTCAATAAAATTTATAGTTTCTGAAAAAAAGGAAAGTTTCTGAAATTAAAAATAATTGGTTAGAATAAAATAAGGTCTTTACAACTGATGTTATACAGTCTTATTTATTGCAACAATTTAAACTATTATGATATTATGATGCTTTGAACTGCACAAGAGTTCCTTGCTTTTACAACAATCTTTCTATCTGTAACCTCGGCTTCTCGTTTCGACATCCACCAAAACATATCTGTGTTTGTCGACACATTATTCGGTACAAAAGCCTTCCTAATACAAGATATGCACTCTAAAACAAACAAACAAAAAAAAAAAAAAAAAAAAAAAAAAAAAAGAACGACGCACCAAGAAGGAATCATCCGATTGCTTTGAAATTTCGTATGCATACATTTTTTGACCAAATATGCAAATGATTGAAATTTGGTGTCCGATGAATGATCTCCAACGCATCGGAACTGTGCATCCAGCAGATGTATATAAGGAGCTGTTCTTAAACTGCTGTTAAAATTTTCTCTTGCATTGCGATTTAGGATACCTTGCAACGACTGAAAAAATGCCCCACCGCAGGATTTTAGCTGATTACCAGCAACTGTCAGAGTTTGAAAGAGGTTGTATCATTGGATTGAAAGAGGCAGGTTGGGCAAATCAGAGAATCGGCTCGTCATATGAGTCGAAGCGATGCGGCGATTAGAAGATAATGGCAAGAAGGGTGGACAATGGCAAATTTCAGCGTCATGATGGTAGCGGTCGACTTAGGGCCACAACAGATTGGGAGGACACAGTGATTGTCAGATCAGCTATCACAGCGCCTGATTCATCGCTATCAACCATCTACCCTTCCCTTTGCAGTAACCTGGCCTTATTTTTCAGCAAGATAATGCCAGACCACATACGGTACGTGTTGCTATGAACTGTGTTACAGCTTGTCAAACACTTCCTTGGCCAGCCAGATCCCTCTCCCATCGAACATATCATAGGAAGGCGACTGCTTCTACCAGGGAATGTTGATGACCTAGCTCTACAAGTGGAGCAAATTTGGCAAGATATACCGCAAGAGACCATGCGGGAGCTTTATCAGTCTATGCCACACCGTGTGGCAGCTTGCATCCAGGCTAGAGGTGGGTCAACACCTTATTGAGCTCGTTACTTTGTAACTATGTAACTCTGAAATAACTGATTCAATTGTTCTGAAATGTTTCTCTTCGCAGATAACAAAATGAGTGAAATCTTTGTGTAAGAGTTCTTCATGTGATTTTGAGGTGACAGGACGCATCTTTTACGTCCTAAACCACGCCAGTGGTTTCTGTAGAACAATAGTTTTTTTATGCTGTAACTACAGTAAAAAGGACGCTTTTTTGCGTCCAATCTGCGTTAGCGGATATTATATGATTTAGGGCTGTAATGATCAGTTTATTTTTATGTTATAATCAAGAAATCTATTTTAGTTTATCAAATAAATAATTTAAAAGACAACCTGTCTTTCTTTCACCCGACACGGGTGTCCTGACGTTACAGCTATAATAAATGGTGGCAGCGGTTCAGATTAGAAAATCCATGCAGAAATTACAGACCGTCAGGCTCTAAAAATTCATCTCAAGATTGTGGGACAGTCATTGTCCGGATATCAACAGTGTTTTGCAGATATTACAGACCGTCAGGTTCTGAAGTGCAGCACGAAAAGTTACGAACATCAGTTCGAAAAAGTGATTACAGCTCTCCGAAGTGACGAGATAAGAAAATCCATGCAGAGATTGCAGACCGTCCGTGTCTGAAATTCATCTCGAAGTTTGTAGGACAGCCATTGTCCGAACATTCATCAGTGTTTGCAGATAGTACAGACCGCCAGGCTCT